TCACTAGGAACAGCAAGTTGACGGAGCCGCCCGCGCACCCCGAGACGGGAACTCACCTTCTCTTGGGTAAGGGCGGGTGTCTACTCTAAAACTACCGCCCGCGCTCGCCGCCGCGGTGGTGCGTCCCGGAGGTTACCGGAAGTGGCCGCGCTCGGCGCTGCCATGTTGAGGAGCCGCCGCTGCCGCTGCCGCCGCCGCCGCCGCCGCTTTGTTGTCGCCTCCTCCGGCTGAGGAGGCTCCCTGAGCGGGGGGAGTGGGGAGGAGGGGGGTCGGCCGCCGCAGCCATGGAGGCCAACTGGACCGCGTTCCTGTTCCAGGTACTGGGGGCCCCCCCGGGGGGGACAGGGGGCCAGGGGGGCCGGGCCCCGGGCTGGCGGGCGGGCGGGCGGGCGCTCCTCCTCCCCTCCCTCCCGGCTCCGCTCTCCGGCCCGGCCTTAATCCCCCTTTGTTTTTCCGCTCGCCCGCCCCGGCGGTGCCCGCTGCCGAGGTGAAAGGAGGCGGCCGCACGGGGCGCGGGGGAGAGAGCAGGCCTCGAGGTGAACCCCGGGCCCCCCCAGCAACACGCGCGCACACACCCTTCCCTCCCACCCCGTGGGGAAGGGAGGAGGCCGCCGCTGTCACCGCTGCGCGGCCGGAGAAAGGAGGGCGCCGGGCCCTGGAGAGCGCGGGCCGCTCGGCCCCTGCTGCGGGCGGGCGCGGGCCGCGCCGAGGGTGAGGGGTCCCCGCTCCCGCTCGCCACACACTTCATCCATCTTTCGCCCGCCTCCTTTCTCCTCGCCGCCCTCTCCCCTTTTTGTGTGCGTGCGAGTGTGTTGACTTTCTGACCCTCCTCCCACATCCCGCGAATAGCGGGTATCCCTGGGTTCCCCGCCACTCCCCCTTCCCGCCGCCCCCTCGTGTTTACCCAGTTGAGAGGGGTGTTGTGAGGGTGTCTGCCTTCCCCAAACTTTTGCACTTGATTTCCGTTTTCCTTGCCCCAGCCCCGGCCGAGCCCGGCAGCTGGCACCCTGTCCCTCTGTCCAGCTCCTGCGCCGTTCCGTGCAGCGCGGGGAATCCCCGGGCCGGGCGGGGCGGGGAGGGGAGCGGGGCCGGGACTCCGGGAGGCGCGACCTTCTCCCGAGCGCTGTCCCCCGCGGCCCGCTCCTGCGTTTCCTTCAGCCGAGCGGGGAGACGCTGAGCGGAGAGCGCAAACAAAGTCCGCTTACAAAGCCCCCAGATGAGTCACTCCTTGGGGTGTTGGTCTTCGCTTTTTGCAAGAAACTTACTAGTGACTGTAGCCCATGCGTTAGCCATCCTCTTGGCTCCCCGCTTTATGTGAGGGACCCTTGTTTGGAAGATCTGGGCTGGAACTTTTTTTTTCCCTGCTTCGTTTCTGTTTGCAAACCAAGCGGTTAGTGAGCGGTAGCGATGAGCTCACGGGGAAGCTTAGGAATCCGGTGAGGTTAGGAAGCTCGTCACTTTTAAGTGCGTCCTTCCCGCCTAAGTTATTTTCTCTCTTTGAATACTTCGTGAAATCCCAAACGCCTAGCTTGGGCGCTTAGAATCTTTCAGAACTACGCAGGAACGGATGCAGAATTTTTAAAAATTACAAATCTCCCCTCAGCTTCTGGTACCATCCTAGTGCAGGGTAGTATAGGGAATTGGAGAATTCAGAATTACCTATTGTGTAAGATCTGGTTTATTGTTTTAAGAAATATTTCACATGTGGGCAATATGATTTTTAAAGTGATTGTTGAAATGTATTTGGGCTTTTTTTTAAAAAAAAGTAGTAATTAGCAACATTTATTGAAGACCGTGGTGCAGTAGCAGAAACAGGCAGAAGGAAAAAGGGAAAAAGGAGTAGGAAGAGGAAGTCTTTAACTCAGGCTTTCAGTATTTAAAAGGTTAGATACCTTTGATTCCAGGTGGGGGCTTCTTAAAATTGAAAGTACTCAAAATTACGGAACTCATGAACTTCCCTGTTTCCTCATTCTGATCCAGTATTATTTTATTGTGCTTTGATGAGCTTGATAAAAATGTGATAAATCAATTTAATGCACTGGAAAAGAAATGATATACTAGCTGACATTCAGTTGGTGTAAAGGTGGCTAATTCCTTTCCTAGAAAAAGTTATCAAATGAGCATTTTAAAATAGAGGATTGAGGGGCCGGGGATATAGCTCAGCAGCATAAGTGCTTGCCTGGCAAGCTTGAGGTCATGAGTTCGATTCCTGCCCCCCCCAAATTTTTTTTTTTTTTTTTTGGTTTTTTTCTGGTACCAGTAATCGAACTCAGGACCTTGGGCTTGCCAGGCAAGCGCTGTGCCACTGAGCTAAATCCCTAGCCCCCAAAATAAAATAAAATAGAGGATTGATAGCCTGTAGAAATGGTTTTCATGTGATTAAAGTTATTAAACAGCGGAGACTGAAAAAAAAAGAGTTATGTTAAGAAAAAAACCTATTACTTATCTTTGGGAGCTAGTTGAAAGATCTTTTGAAATACTTTTTTTTAAAACTATCATTCTTTCCCTGGATAAAGGAAATGCAAGCATTTATTGGCCAACTTTTTAATTAGATTTTATATGTAATTTTTTCAGCAACTAAAACCTTTTTCAGCCTGGTGGAGAAGTGTGAAAGCTAATGTGTGGTCCTGAGTTTGGCAATGTATGCAGTGAAATTGTTGAGAAACTTGTAATTTAGAGCCGAGGAGAGTTGAATGGGTGGAGAATATTGTGGACCTTTCTATGGAAAGGTATGACTAGACCTAATCATTTCTGATTTTACATAACTTTCACTGGGGAAATAGAGAATTAAACTCTCGTGTTTGTTTCCTAGAGCATCCTGTTGATTTTAAAACAATATTTGATTTTAAAACTACCCAAGAAGTTATGCTGTTGAATATTCTAAGGTAATTTAGTACCTGCCTATACTATCCAGATAACCTGGTGCAAAGTGAAAGCTGTAGCTATTAAAATGTTTGATGGATGATCCTAACAGGACATTCAAGATATGACTCACCAATGCTAATTTGTTTCAGTGCAAAATCTTTTACCCTCTGGCACTGGAGATTTCAGGGTGCCATATCCTACTACTCTGGGTGATGAAATAATATTTCTGTTTTGTTTTTTGCCAGCCCCAGAGAAAGGAAAGCTTAGGCAGGGCTAAGAAGCTTTGTACATAAAAGAAATAGGAAATAAAATTAAAGCTTTGATTTGGTAATGCTTTGTCAAATAAAAGTCTACCTAGAAATTATATTTTTAAAATAAATCACTTTACTGAAGGCAGGCCATGGTTGTTACTCTACTTTGTCTCTCCCAGAGAACAAGTTGGGAAAACCCAGTTCTCCTCTTAGAAGGCTTCATGTAGAAATGTGGGGTTCCTAAGAATCCTCGGTGATTCCTGTAGTCATTCTACAGCATTTCACCCAAGAAGCAGGGACCTAGTGTGACCGTCATGTGAGAATGAGCTTCAGCCATACTGTAAAAATGCCTTATGTTTCCACAGACATCTGAATTGGTAAAATGGCAGTAAGTGCTTTTAGTGCTCCATTGTACTAATGGTTGTTTAGAACTGAAAAACGCCTCAAAATGTTATAAGTCTGAACTTTGTCCAGAAGATTTGCTTTCCCTACTATCTGATCTGTTAGCTGTTGAAAGTGTATATCTTGAGTTATCTTCCACTATTAACTGTTTGTATACTGTATGGAAACTTAGGTATCTTCCTACAGCCCGGTTGGAAATGGAGTAAGATTATAGAGTTTAAATTGTGTAAACTTTCTATTGATGCCACCTGGCTAGGTAGAACCCAACAGTCACATGCTCCACAAATTAAAGGTGGACTGTAATTCAGTATGAGCATTAAGTCCAAAAAAGACACTCATAAGTTAACTAAACAATTTCTCATAGTGCTTCCAGGACCTAAAGATTTAGATACCCCTAAAGGGTATCTAAATCAAAATTGTTGAATTGAAACTGATAGCTCTGGATACCATACCTCCTAATCATTTAGGGGAAGAGTAGTTCCAGGCTTAGCTTTTGTGTTGCCATTAAATAAACTGGATCAATGTGTGATTGATGTTCAAATCCATCAGGGGAGGAGCTCTGGATGAGTGTGTGTGTGTGCTTTCTTGTTTGTTTGATTTGTTTTTTCTTTAATTGAGTTAGTTAACCAAGTGATTATAGTTGGAAGAATAAGTGACCAAGTGTCTAAGTAATGGAATGGACCCTTCCCAGAATATTGTATACTTAAAATACTTAAAACTCTAACCTCTTGAGTACATACATTCTTCTAGGATTATAAAACTCAAGCACAGGGGCTTGGGCTCAGTGTTAAGAGTTTAA